TCCTGCCCGGCACGCAGCTCCTCCACCTGCTCGCTCAGCCGCCGCACCTGCTCCTCCAGCAGCCGCACCTTCTCCGCGTCCCCACCACCTGCCACGCACCACCAGCGTGTCAGCGTGCCACCCCCGACACTGCGTCCCCTGCCACCGTGTCCCTCCACCACCACGTCCTCCTGCCCCAGCACTACCTTCACCTCCCAGGCCGCTGAGAGGGTTGCCGAAGCCGGAGAGTGTGGGGCGGCCGGGCCGGGGCGGGGGGCGACCGGTGGGCTGGGGGGATGCTGGGGCGGGTCCCTCGGTGCAATCTGGGCCCGAGTATCCCTGGCAGCAGCGCCAGGCCAGCTCCGACACTGTCCGCTGGGCCACCTTGTAGCGCGGCCGCAGGAAGCTGCGGTACCTGTGGGCAGAGGGGACAGGGAGTTGGGGGGTCCCGGGAGGGGTGTGGGGCTGCCCCAGGGAGCCAAACCCAGCAGGGACTGCGGCTTGACCCAGCGGCTTCTGTGTCTTGCTCAACAGCCGGCGGCTGCGGGGGCTGTCCCTGCCTCTGCCTGGCTCTGGCACTCTGTCACCAGCATCACCCTATCCTCGGCATCACCCCAACACCGGTATCACCCCATCACCGGCCCGAAAAGCTGCATGGTGTCCCAGGGTCCTGGCTCTGTGTGGCTGGGGGGACAGAGGCTGTCACCCCCCGGCACCACTTGAGGCCAGTGGTTCTTGCGCAAAAGTAAACACGACCCCGGGGCGTGTAAACACGAGTGGCGGTAGCAGCACAGCCGTGGCCAGCCCTGGCTCTGCGCTGGCCCGCCAGGGCCCACGAGCCCCCTGGAGACCCTGAGCCCCATTCCAGCCCCACTCACGCCAGGACCCGGGGACACTGGAGCTGCCCCCAGGGGCAGGGCTGATAGTCCGGCTTGATGAAGCTCTCAACGCCGTCCTCCACCACACAGCTCACACTGCGCGTCACCACGTAGGCACACCAGTTCCTGCCGGAGGGAAGGGGTCAGAGCACACACCTGGAACACGCCAGCACCAGGCATCGTCCTGGCTCACAACCGGGCATTGCCCAGAGATAGACCTGGCATGGTCCCGGCACACACTGGGCATCATCCCAACACAGATGCGGCATTGTCCTGGCACAGAGCAGGCACGAGCATGGACCTGGCATCATCCCAGCACACACCAGGCATTGTCCTGGCACAGAGCAGGCACCGGGCATTGCCCTGGCAGAGACCCAGCATCTCCCCCTGCCCCAGGCATCCCTGGCACACCCTGGATTCCCCAGCAAAGCCTGGTTCCGCTGGGCACACACCAGATCCCTGGGCACACACCTGATTCCTGGCACATGCTGGCATCCCAACACAACCTGACCCCCCGAGCGCACCCTGGATCCCCCGGCACTCTCCTGTGCTCGCCCAACCAGCCCCACCGGTAGCACCGTCACGGCACAGTGCGGCAGGTTAATGGGCCGGATCCTGCCCTCCTGCAGCCCCTCTTTCCTGCCTGGCAACCTCGCAGGAGCAGCTGCAGCACCTGACCACGGGGCAGCCCCCGGGAGCCCTGTGGGGATGGGGGCTCTGACAGGAGTGGGGTGCTGACACCCCATCACACTGTGCTGTAGCTCCCACGCTGCCTGGCACAGGCACAGGCAACCTACATCCTCCCCATCACTACCCTTGTGTCCCCCGTCCCCTCTGTGCCGGGGGGGCAGGAGCACCTGGGGCAGTCACACACTGGGACTCCAACCCAGACACAGACTGTGGGGATCCCTGCTTGAGGTGCAGATCCCCGGCCCAGCCCAGCCCCACATGCTGCTGGGACCCCAGCCCCACGGCGTGGGGCTCCAGCCTGTCCCCATCACAGCCTTATATGGTCCGAGCCTGGGGCCCAGCCTGGCCCCCCGACCCCACTTGAGCAGTCCCCTAGCAGTCCCCCGGGGAGCGGCCCCTGTCCCTGGGACCCCGCCGCGGGGCCCCGATGCGGCGGCCGGTTCCCGTCAGCCCGGCTGGTTCCCCTCAGGCCCCGGCTGGATTCCAGCTCCTCCCCGGGGGCCGCCGGGAATTCCTGCGCCGACCGACGGCCCCTCCTCGCCTCCCCCCTTCCCTTCCCAGCCCCGCACCCGCGGGACCCTGGGACCCCCGGGCTGCCCTGGGGTCCCACCGCCCCGCCCCGGGGCTGTCCCCATCCCAGGAGTGGGATGGGACCGGAGCCCCCCTCAAAGAGCAGGACTTGGGGACACCCCCATACCCGCGAGCCACGGAGATGGGGCGCTGCACCCGCCGACCCGTGGGAAGGCCCCGCTGAGCCCCCAAAGCCGCAGGTAGAGGCTCAGCCGTGTCCGTGCCCCATCAGAGAGCTGGGGGAGCCCGACCCACGACCCCCCTCCCCAGGCACGGGCCATGTCCTGCCACCCGCCGAGGCCGCCCTGGGGCCGGGGCAGCTCCAGCCCTGCGGCCGCGCTGCTGCGGCGCCGATGTGGCCGCGGTGTGTGACCCCAACCCAGCGTGGGGCCGCCCCCAGCCCTGCGCCCCTCCAGCGCCTCGACCCGCAGGCACAGGCTACCCCACGACCGCCCCGCGCTGCCCACGGCACAGGACGGGACGGGGATGGCGATGGTGTGGGTCCGGGCCTCTCCTCCCCTCCCCGGCAGCGCTGACCCCCGCGTGGATGCCGAGGCGGGACCATCCCGGGATCCCCGCGCCGCGGCACCGGCCCCTTCCCTCCACGTGTGCCCGCTGCCCACCCGCGCAGGGCCAGGGGTGACCCCCGAGTCAGGGGAGCCCCCGGCGCTGATCCGGCCCCCGGCACAGGCGCCTCCGCCGCCGCTCCCGCCGCCCCCAGGGCTGGACGTGGCACGTGCCGGTGCCCGGCCGGTGCCGGGGTCCCCGCGGCGTCGGGGTGGGGGCTGCCCCCAGTGCCCCCGCTGCCGCCCGTGTCCCCCCGGTGCGTCCCGCTGCTCTCGGCTCCTACCTGTGCCGGCCGGCGGCCCGGGCACCGCTGTGGGCCGCAGCCGCGCCGGGGGCGAGCGCGGCGGCCCCGCCGGTGTAGAGGCTGTACCGGGGGGGAAAGTTGGCGGCCAGGGCCTGTGCGGCCAGGAGGCACGGCCAGAGCCAGGGGGCCATGCTGGGCTGGGGCGGCTCCGCTCGGCTCGCTCAGCCCGGTCCGGCGCGGCTCAGGAGCGCATGGGGTGTCCCGTCGCGGCTCCGCGGCTCTGGGCGGCTCGGCTCGGCACGGCTCGGCTCTGCCCTCCCCCCGGCCGCCCCTCGGCCAGCCCCTCGCCGCCAGGGCCGCCCCGCCGCCGCTGCCCGCCGGCGGGGTCCCCGGGGCCCCCCGCTTCCTGCCCACCGTCGCCCCCGCCCCGGCCGCGCCGGGCACCGCGGCCCCGCCGGCCCCGCCGCCGCCACATCTGCTCCTCGTTAGGCCGGGCCGGGGCAGCCAGAGGGGCCGGGCAGGGGGCCAGGGCGCGGGCGGCCAGCGGGGCGGCGGGGCTACCGCTGCGGCATCAGCACCGCCACCGCTCCGCCACCGGCACCACCTCGCACGGTGCCCCGCATCGCCTCGGCCACCTCTGCCCCCGCCCCGGGCACAGCCGCGGCAGGTCCCGGCACCGCATCCAGCACTGCCACGTCCCTGCGTGCCCGTGTCCCCGTGCCAGGTTACACATCTCGGTGCCGGTGCCGAGCCGGCTGCTGCCCCGCGCCCCCGGCCCAACCCTGACACCGTATTGGGGACAGTGGGAGCACTGGAGCGACCACCCAGAGCCGCGGTGGTCCTGGACCTGCGGTGACGCCATGGCTTCCCCGGACCGCGTGGTGACGTCACGACCTCCCGGTGATATCACGCCTTGGCCCAGGCCCCACGGTGACGTCAAGGCGCGGGAACCCCCCGCCCTCGGGGAGCTGTGAGCGTGGGTTAAGCACAAACAGCTGCCGGCAGCTGGAGGGGGGAGGGGACGGGGAAGGGGACATGGGGGAAGGGGGACGCGGGGGCGGGGGACGCGGGGCTGGGCTTGGCCAGGGTCCAGCCGTGGGCAGTCCCCAAGGGGTCGGTGTCACCTCCTCTGTCCCTCAGAGGCCGTGGAAGGCTGCGGGGGGTCCTAGAGGGCTGTGGGGGGCCGAGGCCCTGCCGTGTCCAAGCGGACTCCAGCCAGTGCCGGGGAATTACCGAGCAGGGACAGTCAGTGGGGGTCCCGCTCTGCCCCAGTACAGCCGGGGGGCGCAGGGATGGGGACCGGGCTGGGGGCAGGACCCCGGGAGGACTCACTGCTGAGACCCCCCGGCTGCGGCCCATCCTGCACCCAGCCCGGTATGCCCCAGTACACCTCGATACATCCTACCACATCCCAGTACGTCCTAGCACACCACAGTACACCCTTGCCCAGTACACAGCCCAGTATCCCTCACTACCCCCCAGTATACCCCGGTACAGCCCAGCACTTCCCAGTATGCCCCAATACGTCCCAGTGCAGCCCGTCCCGCCCCAGCCCCGCGGCCCTGCCCGCTGTCATCAGCTGTAATGAGCTGTCATTAGTGTCATTAGCGCTAATTAGCGGGGGCCGCCGGGGGCCCGCCCGCCCCGCCCCCCGCCGTGACTCCGCCCCCCGCCTCGAGCCGCGCCTTGTATGGAGAAGGAGCAGCCGCGGCCGCCAGGGGGCGGGGAGTGCCCGAGGGGGCGGGGCCAGAGGGGAAGGCCCCGCCCCACCAAGAGCCCCGCCCCCCGACAGCAGTGACGTCACCGAGACCTCGGCTAGGGTGACGTCACATCACCAGCTCGCAATGACTTCACACCCAGGCCACGCCCCTCCCGCCGTGCCCCGCGGCCGGAAGTGGCGTGCGGCGGTAGGAGACGTGTCGGAGCGGCGGGGCCGGAGCGTGAGGTGGGGGGGACACCGGGAGGGGACAGGGACCGCAGGTGTGCTCGGGGGGAACGGCCCCCTGCGGGGGGCGAGGGGCCTGCAGCGGGGTGGGGTCCCTCCGCGGTGCCAGCGCGTGTCTCTCCGCAGGATGATCACGGACGTGCAGCTCGCCATCTTTGCCAACATGTTGGGCGTCTCGCTCTTCCTCCTGGTCGTGCTGTACCACTACGTGGCCGTGAACAACCCCAAGAAGCAGGAGTGAGGAGACCCCCGGAAAGCCCTGGCAGCGCCCGCCCTCCGTCCCTCTGTCCCTCCGCGCTGCACGCGATGCCCCGGCCGCGCTGGGCGCGGGGCCCCGGAATTCGCGAGGCCGAGCTTATTCCAAACCAGTTTTAAAGGAAACACGATGATACAAGACGAAACAGTGTGACGTCATAAAAGTCCCGGGCCCCTCCGCCAGGCCCGCGGGGAGGGCCGGGCCGGGCGCACGGGGAGCCCCCCGGGCTGGGGCTCAGCGCAGCAGGAGAGGAGCTGCCGGCAGGAGCTGGTCCAGAGCGGGCCGGTGGGCGGGGGCCGCTGTGGGGCACAGCGGGGCGGGCGGGGCCGGGGGGGCCGCAGCCCTGTCCCCAGCGCCGCAGCCCTTGTCCGGGTGCGGCCGGCACGGGGCCGAGCAGGGCCAGGGGCCCCCGGCCTGCGTCGCAGCCCCCCGGAGCCGCGGGGCCGTACCTGGGGCCGCGGGCCCCTGCCCTGGCACGGGAAGGATTCCTCGGCGCTCAGCACCCCCCCGAGGGGCACGGGGGCCTCCGGGCAGAGCCCTGCAGGACAGAGACCAGGGTCAGCAGGGCACGGGGCTCTGGCGGGCCTTCGTGCACCAACAGCCTGAGGGTGTCGGGGCTTCGGCCACCCCTGCCTGATGGGGGCTTCACTCAGGGCTCCCACCACCCCACCCCACAGCACCTACCCAGGCCGCTCTGGGGCTGTCCGGGCGTTCAGCTTCATCGGGAGCACCTGTGGTAGGTGGGCACAGGGAGAAGAAGGTTGGTGCCAGGAGGGGTCCCTGTCCCCAGCTGTACAGGAGCTCCCTGGGGCTGTGGGTGTTGCACAGAGCTGGGCCTGTGCCCCCGGGGTGTCCACACAGCTTCGAGAAAGCCACTTGGGGCAGGAACACCTGGCAAAGCCCCACAGCTGGGGGGGCTCCCAGCCCCAGGGGCAGCCCCACAGAGGTGTTCCCCAAAGGTGTTGCCCCAGGCACCTCCAGGCCTAGCTGGCAGAGCCATGGGGCAGTCCTGGGTCCCTGTCCTGCAGTGACCCCAGTACCTGCAGCAGTGCCGTGCTCTGGAGCTCTCCCACACCTCGCTGGGCCTCCCGTGGTCCGTGGCTGGCACGTGGCATTACATGGGTGCCCACAGGCAGGGTCCCTGCATGACAGAGGAGACAGAGCTCAGCCCGTGGGTGAGGAGCTGTGTGCCACAGTGGGGGCATTGCCCACCCTGGGGGCACGGAGCCATTGCAGGGCACATTTGGTGACATCATTCCCCACAGTGGCAGTGGCCACACAGAGTCCCCTTCCCTGCCAGCCTTGCCAGGGCCAGCCTGACACTGAGGGCCATCCTGGCAGTGGCAAATGCCAGAGGATGTGACAGGCACAGAGCTCAATCCCAGCCCTGCTGGTGCAAGGGGCTCTACCCCAGCCGGGCCTGGTGGTCCACAAATCACTGTCCCTGGCTCCAGCCAAGTTTCCAGCCTGGTCTCCTGTGGCACTGGTATGACTGGGCTGGCCAGGCCTGGCTGGCAATGAGGACCTGGGGGGCACAGCTCTGGACCAGGGGATATCCTGGAGCATGAGACACCTGCTCAGCCAGGGAAGCTGGGTGGGAGAAAGAGGGGTCCTTTAGGGAACTGGCTGTGGTTGGCAGTGCTGAAGAAACACCTGAGTCACCTCAGCTCTGCTCCCAGTTAAGCTGTCCTTATCCCAACCCAGAAGTTCTCTCCCCCTCCCACTGGGGAAGCAAGCAAGTAGCAGGGAGGCTGTGCTGCCCACTGGGGTGAATCCAGGGCTGTGTCCCCTGGGGGTTGGACAAGGTGTCCAGCATCCAAGGTAACCATGAACAGCCACAGACCGTGCAGCAAATGGGACCCTGCAAGCAGGAGCCTGTGCTGGGCAGGATATGCCAAAGTCACTGGTACCAGTGGGAGGTCCTGGAAAGCAACAGCTGACTTCACCTGGGTCAAAACAGCACAATTTGGTGACCAACCCCAGCCAGCAAAGGCCAACAGCAGCCAAGGGGAGTCACTGGGGGTCTGGCAGAGACCTGGCACACTGATCTCCCTGGGGTGTGGCCAGGCTGGAGAGGGAACTAGGAAGGAAGTGGAAGGATGGGACAAGACCAGGGTAACAGGAGCTTCACCCTGTGCCATCCAGCTTCCACCCCATCACAGGTTCTGAGCGTTCCTGGTTCCTTCCCTGCTGCCTGGGAAGCAGAGGCTGGGATGGCACAGCTGGGGAGACGGCACCAGTGCAGGGCTCGGAAGGCAAAGCCACGTGGTCAAAGCATCCCCAGACCGTGATCCCTGTGCAGACCCTCGCACGTGGAGAGCAGCAGCACTGTGCGATGAGGCGGCAGGAGAGCTGCTGGAAGCTGGAGCAGGGGACCTGGGGACCAGGTGGGGAGCAGGTCAAGCTGATGCCAGGGCAGAGGAGGAAGAGTTGGGTCTCAGTCCCAATGCCAGGCAGCACGAGGACGCAGTGTCCCATGGGACACTCGCTCTGCTGGGCACGGCTCCCTGTGCTGGAGAAGGCTGTGCCTGAGGGGCTCATGGGCTGGGGAGGCAGGACACTCCCACTCAATCCATCCCACTGAGCTAGGCTCCGCTCCTCCACCCCAGTCTGTTCCTGCTCGTGCCCCCCACTGTCCCCACTCCCCGCAGCCAGGGATGGGGCTCGGGGACACTCCGGGTGGGCCCGGCCAAAGGAACAGACGGAACAACGTGCCCATGAGAACATCAGCCTTTTATTTCCTCCCACCACGTTCTCATGGCAGACAAGACACAGTCACGACAGAGGGCTGGGCAGCAAACCCCAAGGACGACACGACGGAACATGGAGCTCGACACAAGCACGGCTTCAGGCACACCCAGTCACACAGGCAGCCCTGCCCCTGGCTCTGGGTGGCAGGGGATGGGAGCAGGGGCCTCTGGGGCTTCCCCTGCTGGACCCCTGAGGGGCCCAGATTGGCACTGCCTGCCCCCCATGGCCCCGAGCCCCTGTCCCATGGCGAGGATACCAGCGCGGGGGGCACAGCCAGCACCTCGCCTGGATTTGGCACCCCATTGCAGTTCATCGACCCAAGGGGGACTCACCATGTGTTGGAAGTCCCCAGTGCCCCATGCTAGCCCTGCCAGCCGACCTCCCCACAGCCAAGGCCACAACCTACTGCTGCCCAGCCAGTGTCTGGGAAGGGGAAAGGCACTTTGGTGTGTCCCCACTGGCCTTTGGAATGCTTTGGGGGCGGCAGGAAGTCAAGCAGAGGTTTTCTGTGATGGCTTCTCCTGAAGCCCCGCAGGCCCCACACTTAAGGGCTGGGATCCTCCTCATCCCGATGGAGCAGCAGCAGCTCCTGCCCAGCCAGGGCTGCAGGACTGTGGGGCGGGCTGGAGGGGCCGCATGTACTCCCTGCTCAGGACTGCCCCATGGGGACGAAACCCCTCACATTCACAGTTCCACACAAACCCACTGTCACGCCGTCCCAGCCCAGGTCACCCTGGCTCCGGGCTCCCTCAGGACTGTGGCCCCGTGCAGCAGCTTGGCAGGTGCCGGAGCAGGCGTGTGAGGGGTCCCCAGCCCGGCTTACCTCTGCCCGGGGCCAGGGTGCCGCCATCGCTTGCAGGGCTCGGGGGGGCCACGGCCGCAGCCGGGGGCCTGGGGCTGCCGAAGGTGAAACTGGGGGAGGCCCGGATCCGCGGGGAGTCCTGCTGGCTGCCCCCGCTCCCGCTGGTGCCGTTGCTGAAGCTCCTGGCGCGGGCCAGGGAGTTGTCAGAGGCCGAGGTGGGCAGCCCACTGCAGGGGTGAGAGACGGGGGTCAGTCTGGTGTGGCAGGGGGGGTTCCCCTCTGTGCCCCCCACCCACTGTCCCAGCCCAGCCCTGAGCACGGGGCGGCTGCAGGTGAGACGCCGCCTCTGGCAGAGCCCCAGACTTTTCCCCAGGCACTGGTGAGCAGCTGGGGACAGGGATGTCACCGAGGCTGCCCCTGAGAGCTGCCGCCCCAGTGTCCCATGTCAAACATCACTATCCCAGCAGTGTCGTCACAGGATTCTCACTCCCTCACCCCAGTCCCAAATCACAGTATCACTGAGGTTGGAAAAGCTCTCAGAGACCATCGAGTCCAACTCTTGCCCCACCACTGTAAGGCCACTACTAACCCACCTCCCCTTTAAGGGCCTTTAAATCCTTCCAGGCATGGGGACTCTACCACTGCCCTAGGCAGCTCTGCCAGGGCTGGATAGCCCCTTCCATAAAGAAATTGTTCCCAACATCCAACCTGAACCTCTACTGGTCCCTTCCTCTTGTCCTGTACCTTGTTCCCCAGAGACAGAGCTCAATCCACCCCACCCATCTCCACCCTCCTGCAGAGAGTGAGAAGGCCCCCCCCGAGCCTTCTTTTCTCCAGGCTGAGACTCCTAAAAATCCCTTAGCCGCTCCCATCCCAGTCCAGTGCCAGAGGGGACGCAGGAAAGACACTTTCCAGGCTACTGGGCCAGGTGAATCCCAACCAGTGTCACCCCTGCCCCTTTCCCCACCGACAGCTCGGAGCAGAGGGACCTCCACCTGCAGCTCCTGGAGCTCTGCAGGGACAGGCCCCGGCCGAGCAGGTGACCCTGGCAGGTGACTCACTTGGGGACATTTATCATCTCTAAGTGCTGTTATCCTGCAGCTCCCGCGCTCGGCCCCAGCCAGCCCTTACGTGGAGCTCCTGGGGGGGGTCCCGACCCCTTCTCTCCTCCGCGGGCCCCCACCGGCGCCGCGCAGCCCCCGCACGTGCTTCAGCATCCAGGCCCGCAGGTTGCCCAGGCAGGTGTGCTCCGACAGCACGATCCGCGGCCACGGGTTACACTCGGCCATGTCCAGTGCCGCCACCGCCACTGCCCGGCCCACCTGCACAGCCAAGGGCACAGTGAGGGGGACGCACAGGGAGAGGAGGGTGTGGGGAGAGGGGTGGCACTGGTGATGGGGTCACAGGGACAGGGCGTTTTGGGGAGGGCAGGAGCACAGGGAAGGGGGGACACCAGGGTGGGGCACTGGGGAGCACGGCAACGGTGAGGGGGTCATGGGGAGACGGGGGGACATTGCAGAAGGGAGGGCACTGGGGAGGGGGAGCACTGGGGAGAGTGGGCAGCTCCCCAGAGCACAGGGCAGAAAAG